CAGGGAGGGGGCCAGCCGTCTAGCCTGCCGCAGGTGGAAGAAAGAAGGCGGTTCTGCTCACGGCGGAGACCTGGGCCTCCATCGTCAGCAGAGGGTCCAAAAGGACTCCCAGACTCTTGACCAATGATGACGGGCGTAGCGCCTCGCCATCCAGGGTAGGCAGCTGGATGTCCCCACTGCCCGGTTGACCCAGCCATAGGATCTCCGTCTTTGCTGGATTCACCCTCAACCTGCTGGCACGCAGCCATCCAGTCACGGCCTCGAGGCACTGATGGAAACAATCGGGTACAGAGTCCGGTCGGCCTTCCATCTTCAGCACCAGCTGAGTGTCATCGGCGTACTGGTCACACTCAAGCCCAAAACCTCGAACCAGTTGAGCAAGTGGTCGCATAGAGATGTTAAACAACAGAGGGGAGAGAATGGCCCCCTGAGGAACCCCACAAGAGAGAGAGGGGGGACCTCTCAGAGACCAGGCCTCCCCTCTCCACTCGCTGTCCACGGTTGTGAAGAAAGGAGGGCAGCCAGTTTAAAGCTGAATGAGGCCAAGGCTCGATGGAGCGTTGTCTCTTCCGCACTGTTCAGGCTATTTTGCGACACCGGGGGTAATGACCGGAATTCTTCCCCGGTTGCCATCTTTTGCATCCAGCGACAATTTTGCCCAATCCAATAAGCAGACGGGTAATTTATCTTTTACCCTTCTACTTAGTTATAATTTGGGATTAATGGACTGGAACAGAGTATTTGTCGAAGTTTGGGTGGAGATGCTACAAAGTATAGGATTCTTTTGCGGCTTCATTTAGCTGCGGCTGTTAGCAGATCAATACATCGAAGCTGGTTATTTTGGTCTCTTCAATACTTTGCTCTGAGGTGGTTGGCACAGCGCTGCCTTATTGGAAGCTCAACCCTCGCTCTTTGTTCCTACCAAACTGAGCAAAGACGGGGAGTTCCCATATTCGTGGGATTCTGCTCTGTGTTTCAGTCCGAATTTGAAGAGAGCTGCCGAGGCTGCCCAAATCGGTCCATTAATAATGTATAATAATCTATATAAATAAAAATGTAATGTTCGTTTGTGGGATTAACAGAACTCAAAAACCACTGGGGGAATTGACACCAAATTTGGACACAAGACCCCAAACAACCCAATGTATGTCCTTCAGTGAAAAAAAAAATTGATTTTGTCATTTGGGAGTTCTAGTAGTAAACAAAAGCTAAATGACAAAACCTAAATGACAATACAGAAAAAAGGGAAGAAAGAGGGAGTGAAGGAAGAAAGGAGAGAAAGAAAAAGGGGGAAGGAAGGAAGGAGAGAAGGAAAGAAAAAAGGGAAAGAGGAAGGAAAGAGGGAGCGAAGGAAGGGGGAAGATGTAGAGAAAGAGGGAGGGAAGGAAAGAAGGAAAGAGAGAAGGAAGAAAAGAAAGACAGCAGAAGAGAAAGAAAAAGGGGGAAGGAAGGAAAGAGATAGAGAAGGAAGGAAGAAGAGAAGGAAAGACAGGAAGGAAGGAAAGAGAGGTAGAGAAGGAAGAAAGGAGAGAAAGAGGGAGGGAAAGAAAAGGGGGAAGGAAGGAAAGTTAGAGAAGGAAGGAAGGAGAGAAGGAAAGAAAAAAGGGAAAGAGGAAGGAAAGAGGGAGCGAAGGAAGGGGGAAGATGTAGAGAAAGAGGGAGGGAAGGAAAGAAGGAAAGAGAGAAGGAAGAAAAGAGACAGCAGAAGAGAAAGAAAAAGGGGGAAGGAAGGAAAGAGAAAGAATGAAAGAGGTAGAGAAGGAAGAAACGAGAGAAGGAGGGAAAGAAAAAGGGAAGGAAAGTTAGAGAAAGAAGGAAGGAAGGAGAGAAGGAAAAAAAGGAAAGAAGGAAGGAAAGAGTGAGTGAAGGAAGGGGGAAGGAAGGAAAGAGTAGAGAAGGAAGGAAGCAAGAGAAGAAAGAGAAGGAAGGAAGGAAAGAGGTAGAAAGGAAGAAAGGAGAGAAAGAGGAGAGAAAGAAAAGGGAGAAGGAAGGAAGGAGAGAAGGAAAGAAAAAAGGAAAGAAAGAAGAAAGAGGGAGCGAAGGAAGGGGGAAGATGTAGAGAAAGAGGGAGGGAAGGAAAGAAGGAAAGAGAGAAGGAAGAAAAGAGAGACAGCAGAAGAGAAAGAAAAAGGGGGAAGGAAGGAAAGAGATAGAGAAGGAAGGAAGAAGAGAAGGAAAGACGGAAGGAAGGAAGGAAGGAAGGAAGGAAGGAAGAAAGGAGAGAAAGAGGGAGGGAAAGAAAAAGGGGGAAAGAAGGAAAGTTAGAGAAGGAAGGAAGGAGAGAAGGAAAGAAAAAAGGGAAAGAAGGAAGGAAAGAGGGAGCGAAGGAAGGGGGAAGATGTAGAGAAAGAGGGAGGGAAGGAAAGAAGGAAAGAGAGAAGGAAGAAAAGAAAGACAGCAGAAGAGAAAGAAAAAGGGGGAAGGAAGGAAAGAGATAGAGAAGGAAGGAAGAAGAGAAGGAAAGACGAGAAGGAAGGAAGGAAAGAGGGTGTAAAGGAAGAGGGAAGGAAGGAGAGAAAGAGGGAAGGTTGGTCATAGCAATGCGTGGCGGGTACAGCTAGTAATCTATATAAAAATGTAATGTTAATTTGTGGGATTTATATAACTCAAAAAGCACTGGGCGCATTGCTGCCAAATTTGGACAGCATACACCTAACAACCCAATGTATGTCCTTCACTCAAAAAAATTGATTTTGTCATTTGGGAGTTGTAGTTGCTGGGATTTATAGTTCACCTACAATCAAAAAGCATTATGAACTCCACCAATGATGGAATTGAACCAAACTTGGCACACAGTTCTCCCATGGCCAACAGAAAATACTGGTATGGTTTGGTGGATAGTGTCCTTTGGTTTTGGAGTTGTAGTTCACCTACATCCAGAGATCACTGTGGACTCAAGCAATGATGGATCTGGACCAAATTTGGCAATAATATTCCATATGCCCAAATACAAACACTGATGGAGTTTGAGGAAATAGACCTTGACATTTGAGAGTTGTAGTTACTGGGATTTATAGTTCACCTACAATCAAAGAGCATTCTGAACTCCACCAACGATGGAATTGAACCGAACGTGGCACACAGGACTCCCATGACCAACAGAAGACATTAGAAGGGTTTGGTGGGCATTGACCTTGAGTTTGGGAGTTGCAGTTCACCTACATCCAGAGAGCATTGTGGACTCAAACAATGATGGATCTGGACCAAATTTGGCACGAATATTCCATATGCCCAAATACGAACACAGATGGAGTTTGAGGGAAATAGACCTTGACATTTGGGAGTTGTAGTTGCTGGGATTTATAGTTCACCTACAATCAAAGAGCATTCTGAACTCCAGCAATGATGGATCTGGACCATAAATAAATAAATAAATAAATAAATAAATAAATAAATAAAATCACACAACTCCTGACAGCTGGCAGGCTGTTAGGAATTGTGGGAGTTGGAGTCCAAAACACCTGGAGGGCCCAAGTTTGCTGTTGCCTGATCTATACGATAGGATTAAAGCCATTTGAGATAGTGAAATGCACACATATCCGCACAATAACATGGTTTTCGAAAATCCCCTTTTATCTTTTTGAAGCTGTTTACACTTGTGGAGTTGTTTAATATGCTTTTTCCCCTCTTGTTTGATTAAAGTGTTGATTTCAATCTGGAATTGTTTCAAGTGCTTTCTGTTGTTTGATCTTTCTTCCACCCCAAAGTCTCATGATTAAAAAGGATGGGGTACAAAAATATATATACTTTAATAAATACTTTAGGACAGAGAGGGGACGTCACACAATGCCGGGAGAGGAGAGCTTTCCATGTTTTTAATACTGGATATTAATTCATCAAAATTAGTGACAATTAATTAACATAAACACTGTGAAATGACTTAATTGTTGATTCGTATCAAGAGCGGATGCATTGCAACTCTGCTTTAATCCTTTGTAATCCTGGGCAATCTGGGGATTTGTAGCTTCACCAGGTATTGTTCTAGAGGCATTCTCTCCTGACGTTTCGCCTGCATCTATGGCAAGCATCCTCAGAGGTAGTGAGGTCTGTTGGAACTAGGAAAAAAGGGTTTATATATCTGTGGAATGACCAGGGTGGGACAAAGGACTCTTGTCTGCTGGAGGTAGGTGTGAATGTTTCAACTGACCACTTTGATTAGCATTTGATGGCCTGGCAGTACCTGGGGCAATCTTTTGTTCAGAGATGATTAGATGTCCCTGATAGGGTTGTTGTAGGTTTTTTCAGGTTTTATGGCCATGTTCTAGAGGCATTCTCTCCTGACGTTTCGCCTGCATCTATAGCAAGCATCCTCAGAGGTTGTGAGGTCTGTTGGAAATAGGAAAATGGGTTTATATATCTGTGGAATGACCAGGGTGGGACAAAGGACTCTTGTCTGCTGCAGCTAGGGGTGAATGTTTCAACTGTCCACCTTGATTAGCATTTGAAGGCCTGGCAGTGCCTGGGGCAATCTTTGGTTGAGAGGTGATTTTCTTGGTGGGTCTGTAGATAGTTTGTATGTTGTGTTTCCTCATCAGCTTCCCTATGCGTCAGTGGTTCCTTATATAAACCCTTTTTCCTAGTTCCAACAGATGTCACAGGCCCATGAGGACTCTTCCAACTCTATGATTCTAGGATTCTATGATGTATACATTGTTACCGTGTTTGAACATTTGAACCAAAGTCAAGATACTGTTATTTGTTTCATAAGCCTAAGTGACATTTTATTATACAGCAGGATATAGCTTGGTTTTAAATACTGTGGTAAACCTTCTACTTATTCTGCTTATTCACATTTACCATCCCTCACATGTATGACTTACAGTATTAAATAGATACGAACCTGTTGCAAATGCGTGACTCTTGGTTACGCAGTTGCAAATGCAACTGGGAATCCCAGCCCTGTCTCATTTGATTTTGGGCTCCAAATGGGGAGAAAATCAAGGCAGCAATGCACTAAATAAAGGAGTAAATATTGTCTGTTTGTCTTCATCTGGAAACAGGGTGAAACCAAGATCCTGAAGCTGAAGAACCTGCGGCCTCAGGACTATGCCAATTACAGCTGCATCGCTTCCGTCAGGAATGTCTGCAACATTTCCGACAAAATGGTGTCCTTCCGGCTCTCGAACAAAACAGGTACTTTGCCTTTCTCTTTGCAGGTTGAGCCCTTGACGCAGCCCTTCGGTCCCTCTTTTCTTTCATTGCGGTACAGATGGGGCTCTGTTGACACTCTTCTCGCTCCATCTGTTGTATTTCCATGCCGTACTTTTGTGCCACCAAATATATTCACCTGCCGTCACCTGTACTGCGCACTGTGCATTATTTGTATGCCGCAGAACCATACTAAAGCTTATGCTGCACAACAGCATTAAATATTATCGCCGCACGCTGCACAGTTTAATAAATCTTGTGATTGGTTCTTGGTGAGGATTTTCCCCCTTTGTTTTTATTTTACTCCTTTAAGGGCTGATCAAAGCATCTTTCTGCCTTTCCATCTATAGTTTTGATAGAGCGGCCCTAAAATCTTCCAGGTGTACTCCTATGCACAGTCACACTCGATGTATACGTGTGTGTTTATGGTCAGCGGTAACAACATCTGGTAAAAGGAAGCAATGGGATTGGGATAATAAGAGGAAGAAAACAGTGACTCAAGAGGTGCTTCGGGAACCATTCCAATCAGACTGACAAAACAGTGGTTGTGGTAGATAGCATCACAATAGTGCCATTGCAAAATGACATGGCTTTGCTAGGAATCGTTTCTAAAGTGTTTCTAAAATATCATAAACATTTGTTGTTGTTTATTCGTTCAGTCGCTTCCGACTCTTTGTGACCTCATGGACCAGTCCACGCCAGAGCTCCCTGTCAGCCGTCACCACCCCCAGCTCCTTCTGGTTAGACCACACCTGGAATATTGTGTCCAATTCTGGCACCACAATTCAAGAGAGATATTGACAAGCTGGAATGTGTCCAGAGGAGGGCAACTAAAATGATCAAGGGTCTGGAGAACAAGCCCTATGAGGAGTGGCTTAAGGAGCTGGGCATGTTTAGCCTGAAGAAGAGAAGGCATGAGAGGAGATATGATAGCCATGTATAAATATGTGAGAGGAAGCCACAGGGAGGAGGGAGCAAGCTTGTTTAGTGCTTCCATGGAGACTAGGACGCGGAACAATGGCTTCAAACTACGAGAGAGGAGATTCCATCTGAACATGAGGAAGAACTTCCTGACTGTGAGAGCCGTTCAGCAGTGGAACTCTCTGCCCCGAAATGTGGTGGAGGCTCCTTCTTTGGAAGCTTTTAAACAAAGGCTGGATGGCCATCTGTCAGGGGTGCTTTCAATGCAATGTTCCTGCTTCTTGGCAGAATGGGGTTGGGCTGGATGGCCCCGGAGGTCTCTTCCAACTCTAGGATTCTAGGGTTCTATGATAGAGCAGCCCTAAAATCTTCCAGGCGTACTACTATGCACAGTCACACTCTATGTATACGTGTGTGTTTATGGTCAGCAGTAACAACATCTGGTAAAAGCAAACAATGGGGTTGGGATAAGAAGAGGAAGAAAACAGTGACTCAAGAGGTGCTTTGGGAACCATTCCAATCAGACTGACAAAATAATGGTTGTGGTAGATAGCATCACAATAGTGCCATTGCAAAATAACATGGCCTTGCTAGGAATAGTTTCTAAAGTGTTTCTAAAATATCATAAGGGCTCTGTGTAGTTACTTTGTTGTTGTTTATTCATTCAGTGGCTTCCGACTCTTGGTGACCTCATGGACCAGTCCAGGCCAGAGCTCCCTGTCAGCTGTGGCCACCCCCAGCTCCTTCAGGGTCAAGCCAGTCACTTCAAGGATACCAGAATTCAATTCTGGGCACCACAGTTCAAGAGAGATATTGACAAGCTGGAATGTGTCCAGAGGAGGGCGACTCAAATGATCAAGGGTCTGGAGAACAAGCCCTATGAGGAGCGGCTTAAGGAGCTGGGCATGTTTAGCCTGAAGAGGAGAAGGCTGAGAGGAGACATGATGAGGGCCATGTATAAGTATGTGAGGGGAAAGTCACAGAGCATACAGTTAATAGATTCTGCTTCCCTGGAGACTAGGACAGGAACAATGGCTTCAAACTACAAGAGAGGAGATTCCATCTGAACATGAGGAAGAACTTCCTGACTGTGAGAGCCGTTCAGCAGTGGAACTCTCTGCCCCGGAGTGTGGTGGAGGCTCCTTCTTTGGCAGCTTTGAAACAGAGGCTGGATGGCCATCTGTCAGGGGTGATTTGAATGCAATATTCCTGCTTCTTGGCAGAATGGGGTTGGACTGGATGGCCCAGGAGGTCTCTTCCAACTCTTTGATTCGATGATTCAAGGATACCATCTATCCATCTTGCCCTTGGTCAGCCCTCTTCCTTTTTCCTTCCATTTTCCCAAGCATCATTGTCTTCTTTAAGCTTTCATGTCTTCTCATGATGTTGCCAAAGTACTTCATCTTTGCCTCTAATATCCTTCTCTCCAATGAGCAGTTGGGCTTTCTTTCCTGGAGGATGGACTGGTTGCAGCCTCTCGCAGTCTAATAATAATAATAATAATAATAATAATAATAATAATAATAATGGAAAAGTTGAGAAGGAGAAGAGCTGGCTATGGATCATGAATGGAACCCTGAAGAAGGAGATTCTTGCAGCCCAGGAGCAAGCCATCAGAACCAATGCAATTAAGGCCAGGATTGAAAAATCAGCCGATGACCCAAAATGCAGACTGTGCAAGGAAGCTGAGGAAAACATGGAACATCTCCTCAACTGTTGCAAGAAAATCGCACAGACGGACTACAAACAGAGGCACAACTCTGTGGCCCAGATTCCGGACTTCATCTCCCAGCATCCCCTAGACCAGGCCCTTTAGGAGAGGAGGAGGATCCAAATGCACTGCTTCCAAGGTGCAAACTTTCTTCTCTGTGGATTTCTTTGAGAGCAACCCAATCCCTGCATATTTCCAATCTCCTATTCCTGGACTGCAACTCCCAGCAATCCTCCAGAGAGATAAAGTAAATAGATTATATAGAGATACATAGGTAGGTAGATTGACAGGAGGACTGCTGGGAGTTGCAGTCCAAGAATAGGTAGAGAAGGAAGGAAGGGGAGAAAGAGGAAAGAAAAGAGGGAGAAGGAAAGAGGGAGAGAAGGAAGAGAGAGAAGGAAAGAAGAAAAGGGAGGGAGGGAGGGAAGGAAGGAAGGAAGGAAGGAAGGAAGGAAGGAAGGAGGGAGGGAGGGAGGGAGGGAGGGGGTAGGAAGGAAAGGGAGAAAGGGAAGATTGGCTACAGCAATGTGTGGTGGGTACAGCTAGTATTTAATAATGTAAGAAAGCCATAGGTGTGCTGGTACGGCTGTACCAGGAGCTCCAACTTCATTTTCTTTCTATTTAATGTTTGCATGCATTCCAAGGTTTCAGGGGTTTTGCAAAAAGGTGACTTCCCTTGGTTTGCAGTTATAGGGCTAGCCACCTGTCTATCATTGTTGTGTTTGGTTCTGCCCCTTTCCCCAGGGATCTGGGGAGGAGAGGGAGCCATTTTTAGTTCAGTCTTACAGAAGGAAACTAAGCTATAGGACGTGGACCAGCTTCACCTGCAGAAAAGCTTCATTTCTTAAGAATTTCCGGGGGGAAAGTCCCAAAGCTTTGGCTGGGAGCTTACAGCCTCTCAGCCTTACAGCATCCGGGGGGAAACAGCTTTACAGACCCAAAGAACTCCAGCTGGAGAATCTACAAGCCTTGACTGGTAGGTCTACTCGGCGCCCAAGAAGCAGTTTGGATCCAGTAGTAGAACCCACATCAGCAAAGCTTAGATAGTAGACAGCCTGGGAGAGGTTAAGAAAAGGTTTTTCTTTATTAAAGAAAGAAATAGTTCTCCAAGCAAGCTGCCTGTCCATTGTAGACAAGTTAAGGAGCATTTGTTTGACTCATTGAAGATCTGGGAAGTATTTATTTAATTTGTTCAATAATAAAGGACTTTGTTAAACCTTTCAAGCCTCTAAGACTATTGTACAGGAAAATCCTTGAGGGCCTCTCTTTCGAGGCGCCCTGGCTTCCCGCTGGGCATATAATGGCCTGACATCTAATCACATCTAATCACCTCTCAACAAAAGATTGCTCCAGCACTGTCAGGCCATTATATGCTAATTAAGGTGGTCAGTTGAAACATTCCCACCTAGCTCCAGCAGACAAGAGTCCTTTGTCTCACCCTGGTCATTCCACAGATATATAAACCCTTTTTTCCTAGTTCCAACAGACCTTACTACCATTGAGGATGCTTGCCATAGATGCCAGGAGAGAATGCCTTTAGACCATGGCCATATAGCCCGAAAAAACCTACAACAACCCAAGACGAGATGATGTTATTGTTGATAATTTTAAATACAGGCTGCATGGCCATCTGTCAAGAGGGCTTGGGTTGAGTCCATGATCCTATGATTCCAGGCCAAAGCAGTCCCCTAATTTGACCTTGTCTCAATGGCGTGTAAGAGGCATCCTTGCACAGTCCGCTCAGCAGTGCATCCCGTGGCAGGAGCAGGAAGACTGTGGGCAGAAGAGTCCGTGACGTGGTGAAGGCTTTGGATGACTTTGGCCACAGATGGCCAAATGGCAGGGCTTGGCTGGGCCTCTGGTAGCCCACAGAGCAATTCTGCTGCTCTCTCTGGCAGAACTTTGGCCATTATCTGGCCAAGACTCAGAAGCATCCTGTGTTTACAAAATCAAATGAACTTCTTGCCTTCTGGTTTTCTCCTTGAGTCCTGAATTCTCTGTTGTCATTTCTGTTCTTTTGATGTTTCGTGCAACCCTTTGCTGTCCATGGGAACCTCTTTCTCTTCTTTGGAGAAGACTTGAGCCATGGATCTTGGGCTGGAGCTTTTTCTCAGCCGCAAAGCAGTGTGCTTTTCCTTTTGGCCTATTTCTGGGTTTCAGAACCTTGTTGAAATTGGAGAGCCGAACCTATCATCTTTTGTAGCAATTTGAAGCAATTCTCTTTCTAATAAAAGGGCAAAAATTGCCTGTGATTTTTTTTTAAAACGGAGGTTTCTCCCGATTGTTTCTGATTGCTTCCTTTAAAAGGAGAAATTAAATAACTGGGTTGTCGTAGGTTTTTGGGGTTGTCTGG